TAAGAGGTAAGTGAACATCAAAAGTTTTATACATCTAAAACTTGATCTTTCTTATAATTGTTGTGTTCAGTTAAAAAGCCCACAAAAAGAATATTGGCTCCATTGATATGTTTACATTCACTTTGCACAGTTAGTAGAATTTCATTTAAAATCAGTAAACTTAAGTGAATTTTTTAAGAAACAAATCCACTATTAGAAATTATAAAACTAATAAGTAACAGCCTTTTTATGCAGAAGGCTTGGGCTTGTAGAGTTGCTCTCCCTTTCCTGGAGGTCCATGTTCAGCTATGCCAGTAAACTGCTGAGCATTGGTTTCGGAGCACCGACTTTCTTAACCGTGTTGGTGCGTGAAGGTGTTTTGATTTGATAACATGCTGTATTAATTGAATATGTGAGTCTCCAGCAAAAACGCAGCCACCTCAATTTCATGCAAATTGAAAATAGAGAAGTAACCTCATTTTTTCTCCCACAAGTACAAAGGACAAATTCGTCTGAGAGAGGAACTTAACAGGAAGCTGCTGGGGGATTTTACAAAACAATGTCAGAGTAGTTTTTAAGCTATATGGATAATTACTCAGCACTCAGTCATATAGATTTATGCAGAAGTGAACTTCTGTTTAAGTCACAGCACAAGAATAGAATGGTGCCAATTTCACAGTGTGCTACTGATGATCATTTTATTCCTTTGTTCAAAAATGCCTCAAGGTCGTCTTTTTTTGGAGTTTTGCCTTTGGAATTATTTAGATTTTGCCAGGAGGATAGCCTCTGATATTCTTCTACTGAACTTACAGAACCATTTGTTGTTCAGTCATGAATGTCTGTTGGGCCCTGGACTTCTGGAATAAGCATGGACTAGGTTTTATTCTGTTAATTTGCACAGCAAAATCTACACAGGCTATTTGCATGCATTCCCCATGCATATGATGAAGGTGTTTCTTGGTAGGTTTCTGTCTCAGCTTGCTCCCTGAACTGACATGGGCCTTGCTGGCTCCTGCCTGACCTTCTCCAAATGACAGCCTGTGCTTGCCGCAGCTGCTGCCAGCCGCGCTTTGCACATTCTCTACTGAGACGAGGGGCGTAAAGTCATTGCAGAGGGTGACGCCAAAGCTGCAATGAGATCAGGACAGGGCTGAGTTATGAGCTTCCCTGACCCTCTGTCCTCCTTCACTGAAACAGGAGCAAGCACGCTTTGTGACGAGTTCAGACAGCTTCGTCACCGTGCGCTGACTTCTCTTGCACCCTGGCTTGCGGCTCTGCTGCCAAGGAGCAGGAAAGGGCCTGGGGGCTGGGGTGCCGGCTTTGTCACCATCAGGTGTTTTTCCTGGCCCCACCACTGAGGCCCTTGCTTCTGCTGGCTGGATTCAGCCGGCCAAAGCCCTGGGGCAAAGGGGTAGCAGCCGCCTCCCTTTGGGTTGAGCTGCACACGGCGGCACAGCTGAGTGAGGGAGCAGGTTATGTGGGGAAGGCACGGGGGCCAGGCCAGCAGCACTTTGAGAACTCCAAAAACTTCCAGGAAAATTCAGCTTCGACTATAGCATATAAACTATGTGGGCTGGAAACTTTGGCCCATTACGGACTTTCAAATTTATTTCCCACCTAGCCAACAGCTGTGGAATGGTGAGATTACAATATTTCTTATAACAAATGACAAGATAATTCAGGCATTTGGAAACACGGACAGTGTCCGGCTGCTGTTTTACCCTTTGGAAAGAATGCAAAATATTTCAGAAGCTGCCTGGCCAAAAAAACGCCTGTGCAGACAAGAGGTACTTTCTCCTGACCACTTCCAAAGCACAGCTTAGCTTAGCCCAGCTGCTGGCACGGGGTCTGCGGCGGTGGCCACGAGGTGTCAGCGTTACCGCGCGCCCGCGGTGGCCAAGGAGGCGCCGGGCCAGCATGGTAACTACTGCCTTACACCTGACCTTGCCCCACAGACCCCGTGCCACCAAAACAGTGAAAAAGAAACATATCATAACCAGAGGGATGAGCTATTTGGTGGCTAGTCTCAAATCCCAATGTACAGTGTGAATGTGTAGAGCTTTCTCACCTCCGTGCTGCTTTTTCTCATGCTTTGCGACCCTGCTTGCTTGTCACATCCCCAGTTTGGTATTTGTACCTGTTGCTCTGGCTGTTCACTTGCCACAGCCAAAGTTGTGTAAGCCTAGATTTTTCTTAAGCATATTAAGATATTAAGCCTATACTTAAGAGAGACTTCTGTTTATCTCCATGGTTACAGGACAAAACACTAGAAACCTTTACACCTTAAAAGGCTGCAGCTATCTCTAATGACAGAGACAGTTGGCTTCAGTGACACCTGCTCCTAGCTCCTTGAGGAGCAGCTTGCAGGAGCAGGCCACAGCACTGACTAAATATATGACGTGCAGAACGGTGATATGTAGAAGGTGCTATACAGACAACCTCCCTTCCAACTATAATAGTTTAGAACAACTTCAAACAGGAGCCTTAAACCAAAATAAATCCTAATTCTAGTGGTCTAGGAAATCACGCTGTAGTTTATCTATCCCTGGGCTAGATTCCCAGGGAAACTGCACCTTTGGGTGCCCTTGTGCAACACACAATAGTGTCAGCATTGAGAGGACCACTGCTCAGTTCCCTCCCAGTCCTCGGGGTGACTCCATGGGTCAGTGGTAAAACTCTCCTCCAGCCTGCTGGCAGCTCCCTCCCAGACAAGACAGTAAAATCAGATCTTGCAGGGCCTGCAAGCACAAAGAAGAGGTAGAGGAGGGGATTTTCCCCCTGTGAACTGATTATCTCTGTGGTTAAAGCATTTGCTTGGGATCAAGGAGTTAAAAGAGTCTCATCCTTCTATATCTGATGTGAAGCCGGATCTTACATATTTTGGGTGCACAAAGCAAGACAGAGAATATTCTGAAGTGAAGCTGTCCTGGGTCCCTGCCCATGCTGTACACAGTGCTCAAATGGACACTGACCTGGACAGAGTGACTTGGCAGCCTCCTGAGATGCTTCCCATCCTCACTCCACTGCCTGCTTAATGTCTGTTCCGTTTTTCCTACCGCTTGGCGTGGGCAGCGCTGCCTCTGTGTTACTGAGCGGGGTCCATGCTTATGGCCCAATTCCTGGCTATGCCTTTTACTAGAGAGCTTCTATTCCCGCTGCTGCATCACTTCAGTCTCCCATGTGCTTCAGTCTCCATCACAGGCTGCTTCTGAGCGAGGGCCAGGAGGTGCAGAGTACCCACTGCAGTTGCGCAGCCTTTTCCCCTGGCCTGTGACTGATCCAAAGTGCCCAGCTATGTGACAAAACTCAAGTTTCCTCCTGAATCCCTACCTGGCTCTGTGCTGTAGGGTGCAGGAGTATTCCTGTCATATCATTCCCTTGAACTTAGTTGTAGCTGTGGCATTATAAATGAGGGCAGAGAGGAAAATTTCTTTGTCAATGTATACATCCCTGAGACTGCCGTAGGTTTATTCTGGTGATGACCAAAGATCTCATATCTTACTTTTTATGCTCTCACACATTTAAATGACTTAGTATGGTCTTTACAGCAGGGATGTATTTCCCCTCTGTGTATAAATCCCAAAACTAAATTAGAAGGGCCCATACTGGTACAGATGTAGAGTTTTCTTGTAATTTTTAAAGACTAGATGAGTATGACATTACGTTCAGAGAGGAGTTCCCAATTATTCTGTGACTAGACCATAGTACAGTCAGGCTTCCAAACTTTTTGGCAACGTTATAGCCAACTTTGTAAAATATGAGAGATTATAACACATAGCATTATAATTAACGTTACAGCAAACGACTATCTATAGTTAAATAGGTATGAAGGAGGAGAATCCTAAGTATGGGTTGTCACTCTGTGCGCTACTGTTTTAAGAAACAGCGCAGTCTAGTGGCGTAATGGTCAGAGCTGAGGAAGAGGAAAAGCTGGGAGATAAGGGGGTCAGAGGGTGGACCTCCAAACTGGGGCTCACAAAAGCTGTGTTATAGCCCCAGCTTTGTATCTGGCCTGTGGCCTGACTTTGGGCCCATTTCTTCTACTCTCTGTGCCTAGTTTCTTAGTTTGTACATGAAAAGCTTAGCTACTGTTCTCTTCTGCAAAGACACCTGATTTGTGTAGAAGGAAGACATACTAAATAAATACAGATTATTTGTACTTAGCAAAGTAGTTAAAATGAAATCTATTATCTGGAGCTGTCTAGCAGTCTATAGTACTTCTGGGGATTCCTACTTGTAAATAACTGGAAAAATAATTTGTATAAAAATAAACCAGAAGATCCACCTCCTGATGACAGATTAGTGTTACTTAGATATCCCAAAGCGGCTTTTACACTGGATGTGTGCAAGCAAGCTGCGGATTTGATGTGCAACTAACGAGCTGCGCATTGGGCCCGCCAAGAGAGAGTGTGTGTGCGCCTGTGTGCGTGTGCACGCATGCACATGCACAGGGATTAGAAAGTGTGCTCTGAAATGTGGGAAAATGGAGGAAACTTTCTCTCATTCCCTCACTCTCTCCCAGGCAGGAAGTCAGGCTTTTAGATTGTGGTATATTTCTGCAGTAACTCAGTAGCAGTAATAGGCTGAATCAATCTGATGTGTCTGTGTTTTTCAGAGCACCCAATAAATACTCCCACCTAACTCTCTCACAATTTCTTTCTTTCTTTCTTTTGTTTTGTTTTTTTTTTTTTTGAAAGCTGCAGTACAAGAGAAGAAAGCACTTCTTTTATATATTCAGTGACCTCTAAGAACCTCTGATATTTTGGGAAGGGTCTGCTTAAAACAATGATTGATACTAGAGATAATGTGTGTTTGATTTGCCCTAGGAACAGGAAATCCTTTTTAAAGCCTGGTTCCTAGAGCACATCTGACTTAAAGTGCACAAATAGCTTTTCCTGGTATGTAAGGAATTGCCTGTATGTATATAAAGTATGACTTGGTACCATGTTGAATCAGGATCTTGCTTTCCTAGGAAGCAATTTCAGCCAAGAGCATTTCACTTCATATCCAGGCTTACTTACGTGAATACTTCCATTCCCCATCCTGCAATGGCTGTGAAGAGCCTTGGGCCTAGGTCCCTGGCTGGGTTCATGGCACAGCCGCTGTTCATTCCCAAGGAACAAGTAAGTACAATTATAAGGAGTCCTACTGCAATTGGCTCCAGGCCCTTTGGTACTCCATTATTTTTCGCGTCAAAAATAGCAAATATAGCCAGAAGAAGAACAGCTGTTGACATCACCTGGCCAATGCAAAGAAAAGAATGTTGAATAAATATGTGCAGATTCCTTCTAATAATGAAAAGAGGGGCCATGGCATCTCCATGAACTGTGGTGGCTTAGATTTGGTATTTAGATTTATCCCACTATACAGAGGAGCAAAATTTGGATCCCAGTGTCTCTCTAGCTCATAGTAATGAGGAGTTTTGAGAAAAAGACAAGAAATGTGCTGCGGACATAGCAAAAAAATTCTGCAACAGCCTGGTGTGAAAGAGTGGAGGATTTGAAAATTATCTCCTGCGTGAGGTCTGCTGTTTTGTTTCCACACTTTTTCCTATGAATTTAACAATCTAATTTATTTGATTTTTGGTGGTTCTGCTTTGCCAATACAATCAGTTGCATTGGTATAAGGTGTTTTTTATGTGATTGTAGCTTACTCTGATAAATTATCAGAATAAATATTCACATCTTTATCCAGGTATTGCGTAACACAGGACAAGCAGTAAAGTCTATAAAGTCAAAACTGAGCAACTAAAAATTTAGGATTTGCTGAAACTAGGGTTGTATGTGTAACTGTAATTTGACCTCTGTATTGCATATGCTAACAGAGCTGAGGAGGAAAATTTTCTTGGAATGATTTTCTGATGGTAGTGCTGCTCTGCTTAAATCAGATGATTTGCAAATGTTATCAATCTATCTTGTTAATAATTAACTTACGAGAAAAATAGAAAAAAAATTTCAGCAATGTCAAAACATTCCATTTTCACACTGATTTTAAAGAAACTATATGTTTAGGAGTTTATTTTAAATTACTTTGTTTCAACTGTTTTTAATTCTATTTTAAAATACACATGAACAAAATGGTCTTATGGAAGGAAAAGTCTTTTGAGTGATCCAAAACAAAATTCAGAACTTGCATACAAAATTTCAAAATACAGTCTTTTTTTGAAGCTAGATTTCACAGTTTTCACATCCTTTACATAAGGAATTCCTGTGCTCCAGCAAGCCCTAGTTTTTCATAGCTCACTTATGCACTGTTTTTTTCATGTATGCCTGAAGGACCCAGGTAACTGTTTAGAAGTAGACAGGAGAAATGAAACTTCATTTTTCAATGTTGGATAGGCACGAGTGCAGAATAAAGACTGGAAATAAGATGGAGATTTTTTTCAGGTTCTCTCAGTCATTGGAAAAATAACAAACATCACAAATTCATTTGCAAAGACAAGGTTGTGTGGTATGTTAAACTGTCTGCTTAAGCACTCTTTAAGGAATAAGTCCACAAAATGGGCTGGATTTTGATGTAAATGGATGTAGCTCTGCTGAAGTTAATGGAGAAACACTGCTTTATGCTGGGAAAAGTCTCCCACACATATAGCATTAAAGGCATGTAAAGAGTACAACAATTAATATGATAAATGTGGAGAGAACAACTTGAAATTATCTTGCTTGTAAAATATAACTAAAATGTAGTCCCTGCATACAGCATTGCATTTTTCATTGCTATTGTACATAGTGATATATGACCAAAATGGCAGGCTTCATCATAGTTCTTAAACATCTATGTATTTTTTATTGCCTGGTTTTATAGCTTTCAGTATGTTTTATTTGTGCAATCCAGATAGCAAGTGTACTTACCTGATCTGCAAATCCATTTATGAGAGAGAGATACGGAGCTGGGTATGTTGCAAAGATATGTGCTGTTGCATTAGGTCCTGTGACTTCAAGTGTTCCATTGCTATAATCCATAAAGGCATCTGCAGAAAACAGCCATTACCTGGTTGTGCTCTCTATAAACATTAGGTCTTCTAGGACTAGAATATAATTGATGATGTGTGCACTCCACATTCTCCGCTGAAATTATTTTATCTGGGGGCATAGATAACATCTTTGAGATGATGTGCTAATTCATGCCCTCCTATCTCATCTCTCCTGCTGTGCATTGAAGTACTTGTTTTATGTATTACAGCTTTCAAAATGGAGCTTTACCCACCCTGTTTATTGGTCCAAAATAAGTGCAAGGGAAAGTTGTCTGATCTTGAACACATTTGCATTATTCTGTAGGAGGTGCTATATTTGGCATGATGCCCTGAGAAATCCACAGCATCCTGACTGTACTGTTGTAAAACTTCCTGAATTCCCAGCCACCAGGAATTACTGCTCTTCCTTTTGACAGTTGTGCAGTGACTTGTTCTGGGGGTGAACTCTCCTGAGAAAACTGCTCTTCTAAAGGACTTTGAATGTTTCACTCTCTGTGGGCTTTACACTCAACTGTTATGCCAGTCGTCAAAGATGGGAAGGGAGGTACTAGCCCCCAAACTTGGGTTCTTTTTAGTATATTCAGAGTGTATTATAAATAGTATAATAAAACTTCTGCCTCAGAACAATTTGCTACCTTGACAAGCCCTGAAATGTTAGAAATAGGAAGACTCTAACACCAAGCACTCAAGAATTTGCATGAGCAGACAAGAAGAAACCCTTTATTTCACTAGCGAATCCAGCAATCAGGTCATTCATGTGAGTAAAGAAACAGCTCTCTGTCTCCCCTGGAAGTCACGGTGAGGATAATTAGCTTCTCCTGAAGGCAAGAGGTAGTGAAGAGGTCATATCTGCCTCCAATTTTTCTAGTTTTGCTTAAGGCCATGACATGGGCTCAGAATGTTCAGTAGTTCCCTTTGGTCAGGCTGTCTTGTGGGCAGTGTCGCATTATTTTGTTGCATTTAACCACAACAAAAAAAAAAGATAAGGAAAAGGAAATTTCTCAGTGGCGAATTACCCTATATGCTTTCAAAAAGGCAAGTTCAGAAGCCTAAAGTGCATGTTCCCTCACTCTTTCAGGCACATCATTGAAAATGGAAGCACCTAGCTCAAATACGTCTGTATGGGGAGGAGGGGAGTGTTGAGTTCCTATTGACTGTCACTGAGTTTTCAGTGGAGTACGAGACATTTTGGAATTACAAGCAATAGGAAGGAAAAATACAGAAGAGGTTTGGGAATTAGTAAGAACAAGAGGAGAAGAAAGTGCTTTAGCAAAGATGAAGGATATGAGAAAACATGAGAAATGAAAATCCTGCAATCCTGAATTACAGGAGGAAGTAATTGGAGACTAAGGCAGGTTCATTGTGGAAACCTGCACACAAAAGCACCTATGGAACTTCTAAGGGTGTGCCTCCTAGCATATCTCTGTGCAAAGCACCAGTGCATGGCATGCACTAGCGCCTTGGAGACCTTTGAGAGTGGTAGATGCCATAGGTGGTCATGGGCTTGAAATGCCCTTATTGATCCATTTTTGATCCCCTCAACACACACACTTCTCTTTTCTCATCTTCATTCCCCATGCTCTGGACAAAAAAAGTGAAAAAAGAAAGGAAGCCCTTCACAGCTCCAGATGTGAGTTCCAATATAGCACCATCCTCACCCCTGACTTCTTCCTCGCTGTCCTGGTAGAACAGGATTCTGGTACAATTGCAAGTGGGAAGGCCCTCTGTTCCCCAGTCCTAACCCTAACCCTAACCCTAACCCTAACCTTAAACCTAGCTATACCTATAGCTGTGCATGCAGCAGAGGACCGAATTCCTAGGTCCCACCACGCAATGGCACGCAGCACTGTACTGGCACCAGCCCTCACCCCAGCCTGCCAGGTTTCTGGTAAAATTTCACTTCAGAGGACCTGACCTCTAACCCTAACCCTGTGTTACCTAACTCTGCTCACAACCCTACTTCTACCTTTGACAGAGCATAGTGAATCCAACCCCAAACTCCATGTGTGTGTTAACCTCTTGCTGCATGCTGACCGCAGCCCTAATCCTAGCTATCTGGCTTGAGATTGAGGTGGTAACCCCGTTCTGGAAGTTCATACTTCCCAAACTCTAACCCTAACTCTAAGAAAGCAGCAAAAACAAGCCAAAAATAGTTACCACACTTCCTAAAGTTTTTTTCTAGTCTTGATTACTACTGGTACCAAGCAGCTAGCTGGTTTATAGTAGGCATTTTCATTCCAACTTTTTCTATGTGACCTTGAATGCCAGCCGCTCTTGTACTGGAGACAAAATCTGAACTGTCAGCAGAGAGAGGCTTTGGAGAAGGTAAACTGGGACAACAGAAGCAGAAGCTTGGAGTAAGTGACTGAAGGAACTGATCCAGCTGAGTGGATTCATCAAGTCACGGAGACTTGTGTATGTAAAGTCTGATGTGTATGTAAAGTCTGGAACAGGTTGCCCAGAGAGGTAGTGGAGTCTCCTTCCCTGGAGATATTCAAAACCCGTCTGGATGTGATCCTGGGCAATATGCTCTAGAGGTCCCTGCTTGAGCAGGGAGGTTGGACTAGATGATCTCCAGAGGTCCCTTCCAACCTAAACGATTCTGTGATTATGTGATTTACTAAGCTTTTTCTCTTTGTGGCACACCATGTAATAGAAACATGCCTCAGGATAGAAGTAATCTTTTTTTTTCCCTTTTAATGTGTGGTCCCTCTGCCACTCTACCCAGCGTGCATTGCCTCTGAGAGCTATCTCTATATGGTGGTCTGCAGCTTAGTCAGGAGGGACTTGATCTCATATCCTGTAACCTTGATGAACTACATTGGTGATACTTGCCTACAGGCACTTGGATCAGGTCTTTTTAATGTTTCTAATTTGCTTGGAAGATGGATAGCCCCATATCCTGGCTATTAAGTAATTTAAAATCCTTACTGAGAAATACATGATCTCAGAGTATCTAATTTCCCATGAATAATTTTTCTAAATTTCAGAACATTTCCTGGAGTATTAGTGTTTCAGAATCTAAGTTTTAGGATATTTGGAATGTTTGAGCCTTTTTCCCTTCAAACTTTTTATGTTTCTTCCTTTCTTCTTTATGGCTTTAGCTTCATTCCTGCCATTAGCTGTGTGTGAACAGAGCCCTCTGCTTGCTTGGTGTTCATTGAAAAATTGGGGCCTTAGAGACTGCCTGACCTCTAGTTTGTCCTGTGAACATGTCTAAGGTGTACTCACCGTAATAAATCCCGAAGACAGCTGCTGCTCCAACAAATGCTCCCAGGAATTGTGCTAATATGTAAATTGGTAATTTGGTCCATTTTAATCTTCCAGTCACGCACATGGCTAATGAAACTGCTGGGTTTATGTGACCACCTGAAAAATAAATCACAAAATAATAGTCATATGAATGACTCAGATACATGGGAATAGGTGAAGGATTTGTAAGAATGTGGGCACTTTTGAGCATGAGACTGCATGCATGGTCTCCTGGAGGTTATTTTGCAATCAAATGCTGAATGCAATTAAAATGAAGCAAACTGGATGAAATAAGAAATAAAAAAATCAGAAGGACAATATCCACCAAGATCCATCTTCCCTCCTGGTGTTTGCAGGCTGTGCTATGTATTAGACTGCAGTCTTACAGTTCATAGATCTATGGACAACTTTACTAGAAAAAGCCTAAAACTGACCCATCAGTTGTGGTGGAAGAGTCCATCATTCTGCAAGAACTCTTTTCAAGGGCTTTGGGTTTTTATTTGCTTTTAAGGGAGGAGCGGGGCCGCAGGATATTCATTCAGCTTAGCAAGTATGTAGTAAGATTAAGGACTATTACTGACTTGAGCCAAATCTGGACTACCCTCAGGGAAAGATGGATTTAAGTCATGTTTATATTCCCCTCTTCAGTCTTCAGGAACACAGAAACTTAGTTTTCATGAGCATAAAATAAAATAATGCTAGGGCTGTGCAGCTTCATGCTGATTGCTGGTGATCTACACCCAGATGAAATCCAGGGGACAGCAGTGCATAGATCCTAATCACATATTTTCATCAAGCTCTTAGATCCTCCAGGAAGGTCCTTGATAAGGAAGCTGATGAAGTAGCTGTACCTAATCAGAGAATTTTGTTTCCTATGTCATTTCTTAGTATTCTTTCTTAGTATTTAGGGGTTGTTGCACCTAAACTCTGACAAGGTAGAGATTGAAGATGATTCCAGCAGCACTGGAATTCATTATGACTATTTTATTATCAGAATCTAAAACATATTTATTATTATGTCATGTGCTAATGATTTGCCTGAACATCTTTTATTAACATAGAAAAAAGTGTTGAATGCTTTTGGAATACTTCATTTTGCACAAATATGTACTTGATGCCTAAGAAATACATATTTCTTGCCAAATCAACAGACAGATGAAACAGTACTCCACAGTGAAAATACACTAAATCTAAATTTTTCAAGGACATAGCAGATCCATTGCTTAGCTTTCAAGTAAAGTCACATTTCAACCTACATGGTTATCAGAAAAAATGATGGCCTTCGTCTTTAATAAAATAGCTAAAAGAGGGTGACCTTCGTCTGTCAAAGGACAGTGATGGAGAAAGGGCCTCTATGTACAGTTCCAGTGTTTGCTTGCACTTCAGGTCACTGAGTCGTCATCTTATGAAATCCAGGCACCTTTGATACATAATGAACTGACAAACACAGATAACAAGCTGGATAAAACCTCCTTTGTATCATTTCCAAAACTCTGACCTAGTAGCATCAGTCCTGAATTAATTTTGAATTCCCCTCTGTGTTTCAAATTCTTCAGCACAGAGCAAATAGATGGATGGCACCTTATTTAACAGCCCTTCATGGGAATTTTGATAAATTGTTGTCTTGTCTTTTCTTCTTTACTCTGGCTGAAATGAATCATTTTTCTTTCTTTCAACACCTGTTATAGTTTCCCACCGGTATATAATACAAGGTGATTACAAAGCCCAGGACAAGTCATAATAATACTAGAAATGGCTGATTAACATCATATTTGCAAAGGGAAAGTCTCGATGAAGGCCCTCATCTTGATGCAGGGGAGATAAACAATTCTTGGTTCTTGTGCCATTAGCAGTGTTATGATGAAAAAGAAAAAATGGCAGCTTTGGAAAATGTGTTCCCCATATCATCATAGTTACAGCAATCACAATCACGAGTTTCTTGGAAAGGTTAAGTTTGAAAAAATGGTGGGAAATTACCTAGACATTGACGAAAATGAGATGGAGGAAAACCCAGAAAGGGAAATTTCCTAGATAAAAGAGCTCAAATTCACCAAGTGTCCAGACCATCTATTTTATGCTACTGTGGATTTAGAATTTCAGACAGAGCAGATGCAAAATATTTCAGCAGTACTTAACCATGAGATGCCGAAGGTCCATAGAATTTACTAGCAAGGCAATACAGGAAGTGGTATTCTAAAATGTCCACCAGTAATCAGATGTTGGATTGTCACGACCTACTGAAATATCTGTTTCTGTTCTTTCACAGGGAAAATGCTCTGCATGCAGAATCCTTTGTGATGGGAAAAGCACAGGAAGCACAATAGTGCAGCCTCTGCCCTGCTGGAATTGAACTCTAATCTTCTATATAATAGAGGTGGACGTCCCTTAAAGATGCAAATGTAGGAAAGGTTAGTGTCTTTCCTGGTTATTTTAGTGACACTACTTTAGAAGATTTTAACTGCCTACATGTAAACCAAGAGCTGCAGTTAAATGTTGTTCCGATAATAAGAATATAGTGGTAAATTAACTTTGCATGGTATTAATGAGCTGTTCTAATCAGTTTCAGTGGCAGTAACAAGAGTGCCTCTTTCACAGTACCTTGAGCATTTTCTAAAGTGAACTTAGAAACGTCCTCATGTACACTGTCTTTGTAAAAGAATTTGTACTCTTTGTAAAGGAGAAGACAAATAGCTGCAGTAATTTCTGCTAGAGCAACTGATTATAATGGCCCAGTCATACCTACATACCCAGATGAACTTTGCTCTTTTCATGAATGGTCAGAAATTCCTGCATGACAACTGGAGTACAAGCGAACAAAGGGGCAATGACAGTATATTGACAGCGTATCACAAAATGCATCTCCAATACTGAATCTTCTTGCTTTTTTGGTTGTCTGTAATCTACTTCTTCTAAGAACAAGCAGACTGACTTTCTTTTAAAATTTGGGACAAGGAGCAGACTTGCTATTTTAATGCCTTTCGTAGGACATGGAGAGATGTGACTGTACTCTGTAAGCATGAACTCTGTTGGTTATACCCATCATTGGGTCTTTCTGCCTTCTGTCTATCTGGCAACCATTTTGGCTGGCAATAGCTGGATTCTATATGCTTTTCCTGGTCACTTCCTTAAATGCAGTTCCTGTGCTGTCCAGGATCATTCCTATTGACAGAAATTTTCAAGGCAGCACCAAGCAGATTTCTGGTTTGCAAAGCCAGAAATCTTATCATGGCTTTTATCATGAAAGCCAGAGGTCTGCCAACAGTTACATGCTACTGTAGTTCAGATCAGAATTTGGTGGAAGAATTTCTTAAACACCAAAAATGGTAGGAAACAAGAAGAACACAAAAGATTTAGTAGAGAAACTGATACAGATTCTGCTGTAGTGGTGCTTGCTATTACTAATAGATAATTGTTTATACCATGAAATGGAAGTAATTTAATAAGGTGTTTTCAAAATTGTAGCAACGAATGCTCTACAAGAAAAAAGAAGGCACTTACCAGAAACCCCCCCAGACACGTACACTGCCATGGTGACTGCCACTGCAAATCCAACAGATACTGTCATGGGCCCGCCATGGGCTCCTCGACTAAGGACAGCCTGCCCCACACACCCACATCCGAGCGCCTGTATTTTAAGAGATAAGTAAAATCATGAGCATATATGTTAAATGTTATTAATTGGTTTATAACTCTTGTTGCTGTCCAGATATAGCTGAAAATGTTGTTCAACTGTTGAAAAAATGCTGGAATTTGAAATTAGTGGCATGTGTGCTATTATTGCCTTTGTTGCAATGAACATTTGCTCTTCATTTCCCCTGCTCTGTGACTGGGAAGAATGTCTGCTAATGAGGACCTGGAGTATTAATTATCATGTGATAAATCGGAATCATGCTCTGTAAACAGCAAGAAAGTGTTTATGACACTTTCTTTTCTTGCTTTAAAAGTCAGTGAAACGTATGCTGCTCCTTCTCTCTGCTTGTATTTGATGTACATAGTACTTGTATGCTCTCTCCCCAGAAAACACTTTTCAACTACAGTGGTGATACACAGCTCAGAACACGGAGCCTGCACAAGACTCACAGCCTCTGCAATGAATCTCTGCATCTGAAAGTGGAGAGGGAGTTAATACTGTATGTAAGTTTCAAGTTCCAGATATTATTATAGACAGTGAAAATATTATTATAAAAGTCAGGAAAGAGAGATCAAAAAGCTTTTAATGTCTCATGCTGAAACCCTGGGAAGAGAAAACTCTCTGGATATTGTGGTATGTGTTACCATTATGGTGTCTTGATATCTTGTCCTATCAAAATACGAACAGCTATACCTTAATATCTTTTATTTAAAATGAACGCAACAAAGGAGAGAGAAAGTTGGAACAGCTAGAACGATTCTGAGGGTTGTAGCAAGGATCAAGACTTAGGCCAACAGAAGTGAAAATCTAGCAGTTGTTATGGACTGAGGGAGAGAGAAGACAAGACAGGGCAAATCCTGGAGAAATCAGGCAAATGATGTTTGTAGCTTCATAGTTTGAACAGGTTCAAAAATAAGTGGTTACTTATGCTTCTGAGGAATTTATTTTCCCTTTGCTGCCCCCAGCGAGCTTTCTGCCAATGCCAAGAGCAGGGCAGGTTCTAGGGAGAAGAAGAGCTGCTCTGGTGGTGGGGCATGACTGAAGATCTGGCTCGGACTAGCCTCACGCTATTCTAGGGTGCGCCAATAGTCAAGAAGTCTCAAGGTGCTCTATTGGCCCTGCAGCTTGAACAGTTAGCTCAAGTGGGAATATCTGAATACACTGAGAACATTGGAATGTTCTCCATGGATTTAAAGTAACTTCCATTTTCTGCTGGTTCTCTTCAGAATGAAATTCAGCAAAGCATTTAAATATGTGCTTAAGATCACCTTTATTCAGTTCTAAGCTTGTGCTTAGCCTCAGGCATGTGTTTAAGTCCTGTTGAAGTCAGTAGGAAAGACTTTTGAAGGCACAAAGGGCCTTTAGTTTAAGATAGGCTGGCTGGTCCATTTCTGCTGGAAATCAATGTCTGTCTTTGAAAATCTCCTCTTTAAATCTATGCCTAAGAGCTTCGCTGAATAAGGACCCAACACTCTATGGAAGATACCAAACAATAACTGTAGTCTGAAATTTTTTTTCTTCTTTGCAAATGTAAGTGTATCTAACATGATCTGAATCATAACATTCCTGGGATGTGACTAGGTTTATCTTTAGCAACTTTAATTACTTTGATGTGAATATGGATGTTTTTTGTCCTCCTTTTCATGGTACACAGCAATCTGATTTTGATTTTTTCCATAAAATCATTGCATCTTAGCCAATGCAGTTGCTTTGGTCAAGCTCTTTGCCTCACTTAAGTATTTTCCCATTACTGTGTGACACTAATGACTGTATTGCAGATGCCCTTATTAAGTTTGCTTATTTGAATACTTAAAATGTAATTCTTGGAGAAATACTTATTTTCAGTTGCAAGACAGTTCTGTTCAGATACTATGCAATGTAACAGGAAAACCTCTTCTGCCTAAAGAAATAGACTGTACCAAAAAGATTTGGCAATAGAGGTTTAACAAGCAAATCCTGCTAGAATAGATGCAATTTAAACAGGCAAAATCGTACTTTTGGTTCCATTATTTCCCCAAGGGTTTTAACTAATACAGAAATGTGCTAGAAAAACTCTCAACAAAATTACACTCTTAACCAGCTTGGCAATGCAGACAACGTTTCTGGTATAAAAGTACCCTGCGACTCTGTGTCATGTACCCAGGTGCAGTTCTTGCCTTGAGGTTATAATCATGCAAGCAAACAAAACACTGTACGGTGCCAAAGTATTACAGCTGTTGGGATATCTTACGGATAGAGTTGTGTTAGCCATAGTTCAGTGGACTGTATAATTGGAAGCTACAAGACAGATATTCCAAGCAGCAGTCAGCTGCTGTGCAGTGGATGACATATACCTATGCTGCGCATTTTCTCATTGCAATTAGCAGGGCATACCTAATAATTGGAATGGTAAGCACAAATGCACATACAGATATTAAAACACAAAACAAAGTACATTTTAACTGTTCACAGATGCAATTAGTTGTTTTCTGAAACTTCACATGAAACAATTGTACTCATCATATATTCATATGTTAAATGAATATGAGATGAATGGGTATCCTGGAATTTATAAAGTTTTAGATTAGAGCACAAGACTAGAGGAGGTGGAAGTAGTGTGCTCTAACTTTCATTTTCCAGACTTCTCAAAGGTAGTAAGTAATCCAGAAATTGCACAAGGCGAGGTTTAGTGACAGGCATGGCTCAGACGCAGCACAGGTTCAGGGCTAGTCTGGAGCTCTGGGCGCAGTGGGGCAAGTGCAGTTTGCATTCACCATTTGCATTTAGGCAAGTAGTTAGATCTACAGGTATGCACAAGTGTTCTGAAATGGCATAGACAAAATTTTGCAGATTCAGAAAAGAGGCCATTCTTCTGAAAATATTACCCTTTTCTGTAAGGAAGGTGAAAAAAAGAGGACAGGAACGGGGGAGATGGGTATAGAAGAGGATAAAGGATAGTAACCACATAAAAATTCATGGAAAGAGGAAAGGAAATAACGGGGGTGGGGAAGGGAGGCTATGGCCTTCCTTCCCTGATTACCAGACCAGAGGAATATCATACAGTAAAAGCCATGTAGTTCTCTTGCCTAATAGCTGCTGCTCTGCCAGTCATAAAAAAAAAATGCAATTCCAGATGCTCTGTTTTTCTTTTAACCAATCTTAGAAGCTGAATCTGCAAACAGAAGGCATACAAGCCAGCTTGCACACCACTGCACTGGCTGCCTGCTCATGCACAGTGAGTGAGCGCGGACTATCATAGGCACAGTCAGCACGTGCCCATTCAGGGGTGAGGGAAATGGGAACTAAACCCGCAAATTTGGACCATGCCATGGTAATATTTTCTCCACCTGCTATCTGTTTAAGAAGGAGAGAGAATTTTTTTCCTCATACGCACACTGTGGCTAGCTCAACATAACCGGGAACTACCACCTAATCACAGGATTACCTGAGCTGCAGTTTAAAGCTTGTGAGTCTCTGCTTGGCTGAGTTAAGACCAACAAGATCATCAAGTTGTAACTAAATATTCTAAGTTTCCAGGCCAAGCTCAGTCGTTAGCTACACCCACGCAGGCTCATTGACTGAAGCACGCAGATTCGATAGGAGTTTGATTTCAAGTAGAATATAGTCAAATATCCTTATCTTATCTTATGTTTCCAGGTTTTCATCATCTTAGCAGCTGTGTATAGCCGATCTGCTTAAATCTACTGAAGTAGCTTCAGTACTGACTTTTTGTTCACAAAGTAGTAAGATTACTGTCATAAATAACATGTAGTTCGTCTGGGTGTGGAATAGCTGTTTGCTCATTCTCTGCCAAAAAAACTTGCTTCGTGGAGATTAGATCATTTTCTTTGTCTTGGGTAATAAGGCTAATGTTAGGAAAGGAAAACAACTGGTCTCCTATGAGCATAAAACGTGCTGTTATTCCCTGACAGCTTGCAGAACTTTATCTGTGTCCCACTCATCAGGGAGACCAAAGATTACTGTTCCTCCATCTGTGCTATTTTCAGGATTTTTGCCGATGCATGTCATAGCATTTTTCAGTATAAGTAGGATTTCCTGCAAGATCCAGATCCAGAATTTCAGAGAGTCGATTTTACTTCTTAGCCTCTAAAGCCTTAGGAATCTAGAGACACAGTGCTTATTTAAAATGGCCCCTTCTCATCAAACAGATCTAGGGTTAGTGTGTATTCATAGCCATACCCTCTTACTGTAACAGTAAAGACGAGTTTCCTGCTTTTTAGCAATGTGGAGACAATGATGAGTGTTTTGTTACATCTTGTGCATCACCAGCTGCCAAGCGGTGGATGTCCCTGAGGGCAGAGGATGGCCTCCCTGCTCACACAATTGATGATGCCCTACTAGAAGAAAATGATTCAGCATGGTACAAGGAATCCAGAGCCAGAAGTTACAAAAAATCATATTTTAATTGTAAATGCTTTCAATTCAGAAACACTGGAGAAATAGTTTAAGAATTTTATTTTAGTTAGTTTTCAGGACTGAGCCATAAACAGCTACAGTTGATTATGAAGAATCTCCAGGGATCACTCCACCACTTCACAGTTTTGTGTAAGGATGCCTTTGTTCAGGGAAGACAGCAACCCTGCCCATTTCCACACAGCACTCCCACCTGTGTCCTCCTACTCTTCCCCAGACAGGCATTTCCTGCTAGCCAGCAGCTTGTCTGCTCCCCTGTTCAGGCTGGATGGACCTGTGGTGTTGGTCTGGAGTCTGCGTATGTGTGTATGTTCCTGCATAGAGCTTTGACGAGGACGTGCTCTGAGGGCAGTGCAATGTGTTAGGCTACAACTGCTTACTGTGAGAGTTCTTCTGCTGTCCTAAAGTAACCCCCTCTGCGGGTGCGGAAGCAGGAGGGCATTGCAGGGATGCCCCAGCACACGAGGGAGAGCCCTGCCATGCCACTGCTAAGGGAAACCTCTGTGATTTCTCCAAACAACAGCCAGACTCAGCACTGCTGGTTTAGCCCTTATAAGCAGCGACACCAGAGGAAAGAGTCA